GTGGCAAATTCCTCCTCCCTCCATGTGTCCTATTCTGGCACTCAATGGATTACATAGTTTAGATAGTGAGCATCCACAATGGAAGAGCAATCTACTTTAAAGAGACCACTGACTCAAATGCTAATCTCATCCTCATCCAGTACACCCTAAGAGATACACCCAGAAATAATGTTTAATCTTGACCCTCTGTGGCCAAACTGACAAAATTACCCAACACATGGTTAAACAACTTTGCCATACAATGCAAATTCTATCACGTTCTTTGAGAGCAAATCACCTATCAAAAGCTATGAGAAATCCTGAAAGAACAAAGCAATTATCTTCCTTTGTGCAAATATCTTCAAAATGTATTTGAAACACAAAATTTTATTCCGTTAACAACTATTAACCTGGAACTTTTAAAAGTGCTACAGAGTACATCTTTTCCCATCTGTATCATACTTGTTAACCACAAAATCATCAATTTAGTATTAATATCTAAAAACCAACAAATCTGGGTGGCAGTGACTTAACACCAACGTAAACCTTTTTTAACATGTACTAATGCCTCACATTTGCACACAACTCAAACTATTAAGTTTAAACAGCTACAACTTTTCACTCCATATTTTTAAAAGCACACGATAAATGTCAACAGGCTGACTGATAACTGGGTGTTATGCAAAAACAATCTCCTGAGTATACCACAGCTCTGGTTCAAATTCAACACATTTTCTTGTATCTTCTATAGCTTTAGTTCTCTGTTAATAATAAATGCTCAGAATAACCTTAATAGCTTTTGAAAAAAGTTTAAAAATGCGTTTAATGAAAATTCACTGATAAATATTTCATTATATTCTAATGATGTGAAAATTCAGATTTTAACAAATCCTTAAGTAAACATCCCAGACCCTAATTATAATATATGGAAATTTACACTTATTTTTAAAAAGAGAGTGGTGGAGGAAGAGTGGGTATGAAACAAATAATTTTCAAGTATACTATGACAAATAAGAGTAACATTAAGAGTAAGATGTCCTAAAGGGCAAAGACAGAAGGGGAAAAATAATTTAAACATTTAAAACAAACAAAGCTGTCATCCCTATATGGAAAATGCAAAAGACACACAGATATGTCTAGCAAGTCTCATAAATATTTCAATTATATTGAGAATGAAAATAATACAAATTGAAGTCAAAAGGTTTAAATCAGAAACTATGTTACCTCCTCTTTTAAAAAATAAGGGGGGGGGGGGGGGGACGGGGGCAGAAGAACCTACCGGTGCTCTACTTTCAAATCACACCAATCTATCATATCACAGGTTTCAAAGTTCAATGTACATATTAATTTGCTCAACTGAGTAATTTTTCCTTGTAGCTTAGTATGGCCCTTAATTGCTCACATGAATGGTTTCTCATTTCTGAAAAGGTTTCAAAGATCTATTTTGACAAAATGCAAAACTGAAAAGTTTCATATGAATGTTTATCACTACTGTTACTATTATGTATCTATATACTTGGCATCCCTACTTTGGTTCAAAAACAAAAACCAAAAAACCTAAACCTAAAAATAGTATACTGATGACTATTGATTACAAAAGAAAATCAATGACAGATTCCATACTGAGCCACAAAAACAGCACACAATTTGGAATAAGACGACCTAGGTATGATTCCCAGCTCCACCATTTGTTATATAATTTTAAGCCAACTGTTTTAACTCAGTCTCTGTCTTCTCACCTGGCTAATGAGAATAGTATCTCCTACCTCAATGCTGAGATGCAAAAGACCCAAGCAGATAGTACCACTCACCACTTTCTAAGCATAGTATACACTTGTTGAACAAGAGAATCTTCTGTAACACAGCTCGTAACTAAATATTTTGAAATCTAACATGAATTAAATCACCTCTTCACCTCCCCTAATGCCTCCTGATCTGTGTTAAAACTAAGAGAAGCAGTAAAATAAAGTACTACACTACTAATTTTTTAGTAACCAATATGGAGTACAATTTTATATCTACTATATTTCAAAATAGGACTATTTTTCAGACTTAAAAAAAAAGCTAAAGCAAGAAGTCTTTCTTAAGTAATGATAAGTCTCAGTTTACCTACTGACAATATTCAGACAAGAAATAGTGTATTATTAACATCGATCAAGAGAGCTGAAAATTACTGAAAGCTAAACAGAATCCTGTACTGAGTCAGGAGATGGGATTCAAGTTTCATATTTGCAACTAATAACTGCTTGACCTTGGACAAGTCCCTGGGCTTCAGTTTTCTAATCTATAAGATGAATACTAAAAACCAAAGATAAAATCCAAGTGCCGTTTAATCTGGGCCTTTCTCCGGAGAGGCAATCCCACATAGTAGTTAAGAGAATGGACTCAGCAGAACTGCCAATGGCTCTGCCACTTACAAGTTGCACACCAGTAGACACACAACGCACCAGAGGACACCTTATTTTTTTTTAATGTTTAAAAAAATTTTAATGTTTATTTATTTTTGAGCGAGAGGCAAAGCACGAGCGGGGGAAGGGCAGAGAGAGAGGGAAACACAGTATCTGAAACAGGCTCCAGGCTCTGAGCTCTCGGCACACAGACCGACACGGGGCTCAAACCCACAAATCGTGGAATGACCTGACACAGAGGGACACAACCGACTGAGCACTCAGGTGCCCCAGCACTACAGTACTTCTTACTAGCATCAATGGTTTACTGTTTAAAATATTTCCCTGAAACACAAAATCGTTTTACAATACAGAAACTTAGAAGGCACAGTCCTTCCACATCAAGACACTAGCATTTTACTAGCAGACACGGAGCTCATATGACAGCATTACAACTTTTTACAACATGCTAACCTAAGCCAAGTTTCATCAAAAGATCATAAAATATCATACTTTAGAGACACCACTGAAACCTTGTTAGAAGGCTAATTGTTCTCACCAAAATATCACAGTGAAGGTAAAAATAGAACTGCTACTTAGGTCTTTTTTTTTTTTTAACCTAATACTGCTAATGAAAACAGAAACTTATACCATAATCTCCAGGAATAAAATAAACTCCAGGATGCAAAATAATGTGGAATTTAAAAATATAAAGTGAAATGCAAACTATTAGAGATAATTAGTTCATTAAAGTCAGCCAGTAAAATATTTACCAGATACATCATACTCCAGGCTCTGTGCGTACATTATGTGCAAATAACAAGTGTGAACTTCCTCAGAATTAATCAAATGGTAAAGGCAAGTAAATGCTTTTTCATCACATTTTCACGCCACAAAAGCCACTCATCCACAAACGTTTTTATTTCCTTTAGGCCCAGGTAGGAAGGAAGACTGCCCATTAAAACTGTTTCCTTTCCTTAGTGCAGCCCACAAAGATGCCCAAACTAGTAGTCCCTGACAGCTGATACCAGAACCTTCACAGGACTTCAAGCGAGTAACTTCTAAGACATTTCCTCAAATCCACAAGCTGCACAATTTATCTTCAGTGACGCTCACACCACCACATAGCACTACACCTAACTGTTAACCGGGGTCAAGTATCTGATGAGATCAATTTAATTCCTCCCCTGAACGTATTGCTAGTAAGGAACTCTACTTCTTCAAAAAGTCTGCTTTTTGCAATGGACATCAAGCACTAGAAAAGGGAAACTGACTGGCTAGTCATAGTTGCCCTACTTCCATTTCAGGTCCAAACGAGGAAAAAAAAAAAAAAAAAAAAAAAAAAAAAAAAAAAAAAAAAAAAAAAAAGCTGTTCCACGGAGAGTATCAAGGGAGCTTTAAGCAAATCAAGAGTGTAGATGCTAAACTGAACTTTCTGATTCCTACGATTTAAAAAGGTGACAATGGGTGGGGGTTAGAGGGGGAGGTGAGATAACTGGGCTATCCAAGTGTGGCTTGAGAAAAAAGGTCCACTTCACGAAGTAGTCAAAGTAGGGGGTAGGAAAAACCGGTCTGGCCAAGTGACAAACCCAGGATGCTGACCGAGCTTGGAGGTGGAGGGCCCTGGAGGCCAGGGACCGGAGAAGGGAGATCTCGGGCAAACCGTAGGGGAAGAGCAGCACCAACGCAGAGACCGACGCTGCCACGGAGCAGCGTGTAAGGGGACACCACGAAGGAAACGATGAGTTAGGAGGTAGCGACAGCAAGAGGGTGGCCAGTGCCACGGGCGACGGGCAAGTGGCAACTACGAAAGAAGAGGCACAGCAGCCGGAGGTGGTGGGACTGTGTTGAGTCAGCACAGCTCCTATTCAGGGGGCACTTGTAGGATCCCCGTTGCTCTTCGGGCCCCGGGGCCCGCTACGGAGGGTCGGGACCGCGGTCAGGAGAAACGCTGTTCTCGGAAGAGCTGGCGCCGGCCCCTTCCCCATTTCACAGGTAAACACTGGCCGCCGTCGCCGCTTACCTCTGTTAACATTATTACACCCCGGGGAAGTGAGCTCCTCCCTAGCCTCGCCGCATGGCAACAGCCGTAGCAGCAGCGAAAACTGCCCGAGCCGCCGCCAACGGCCGAAACAGCTCCTTCAGTCGTCTCCCGGGCGGCGGCTTTACTCGGCTTCGCTGGCTTCCCCCCGGCCCGGCTGCTCGCGACGGACGCGCCGCCATCTTGGAAGAGCGACGTCCGCGTCTCTCTGCGACGTGCGCTTCCATTGGTGGGCGCAGGAGCCGCCGGCGACTCGTGACCGTCTCCATGGCGCCGGCGCGTGGGGAAGCGGAGGCGGGCGCCTCGCGGCCCACTCGGCCACCGCGGTGAGGCCTCCAAAGCTGGGTTCCCAGGGTAACTTGCGATTGCCGGTAGTAGAGACGGGGCCCAGTGTGAGGCCAGCCGGGGAGCGGGCGCGCTCGCCCTCCGGGTTGGGTCGTCCTCCGCGGCTCGCCGGCGTAGGCCGGCCCTAGCGTGGAGTGAGATGGGCAGAGGCCGAGCCTTCGACTGATGGCGCTGCGGACCTCGCGCGTCTCGGGAACTGGGAGGCAGATGTCCTGTAGACAAACTTCCCTCTGGCATTTCCTTTGCACAGCGGCGACCGAAGAGCACGCGGAGGCTCGGTTCCCTTCACGGTCTGGGGTTAAATATGATCTGAAACTGCTCCTCACGCAGTCCCTCTCTTCATGAACTTTGACAGAAACTTTCCTTTGTCCTTAACCAATCGTCAGCGAGCCCTCTTTTGGGGTGTGCGACAGGTTGTAGAATTGATACAGGCATATCAGCTTTACCCAGGATCCTAGCACTTAGGACGGTCGCTGATTAAGTGATTGGCCAGCACGTACATCACAATGAGATCTTAGTTTTGCTTTTTCTAAGAGACCTCTTAAAAACAATAAAGCCACTTTTGCTTTTTAGCTGTCATCTTTTACAGCTCTACTAGCCTCTTGATACAATATGTCTGTGTATCAGTGTGAGCAGATTTCAGCAAGTGGCATTGTAGCTAGTGCCAAGTTGAAATGGGACTGAACTCTGGCCCTCACTGTGCATTCAGAGAAGCCCCTGAGAGTGACACCATTCTGAATCTACCACTAGATGAGTTACAATATGTGGAGTTAGAGGCAGTCACTTCTACCTGAATTTTAACGAAAGTAGTTTACCTGAACCTGCTGTCAAAGCGTGTTGTTCTGTTGTGTGTTAGAAACTAGTTTAGAAGGAAATTGAAGATTTTCAGATCTGATATGCAGAACCCTTCCATCTTTTTTTATGAGGGGTACAAAAGCACTTTGAAAACTAACGTCGTTCATTCCCCTTTTCCCGAATCTCCTTCCGTAACAACGGTGCTATTCTATAAAATGAAATTTGCTTAATACATTACTATTATAGTCTCAAAATATTACAACCTTGTGTTATCTCTATTCTATTGTATCCTCCCCAAGGAAACAAAACTATTTAGGTAGTCAGGTAAAAATTCAAGAAAAACCCTCATTTTGCCCAATTCAACTAATTGAGGCAAAGTAGTTTTTGTATTGATACACATCTGATACATAATTTCCGTATTCCTGGGCCAGCAGAATTCTGACCTCTGCAACTAGTATTACTACTAGTTTTACTACTACTAGTAGTACTACAACTACTATTACTAGTATTGACAGATTAAGCCATGATAGGAAATAAGATTGGAAAATACTATCTGAACTAAGATATTAAGGGAAACTAAGAGATACTAGAGACAACAAGGAAGCTGGAAAAAGATACTGTTCCAACCTGTAAGTAAGAAAACAGAGAAGGAGACTTGTTAATATTTAAGATACCACCTAGTGAATTACAACTGTAATTTAGGTGTCTAGCCTAAGTATTTAACTTTTTGCACATATTTTCCCATTACAGAAGTAATACATTTTCACTTGGTCTAAAGGTAGTAAAGTAAGTGTAGGCATTACTTGAGTTTATACCAACCTGTAATATGACCCGGACATGCTTTTAATATTTAAGAGTTTATCTGCAGACCTAGGAGAGAGAAAGCCAAAATCATCAGCTCCCAGTTTTCTCAGCGAGCGTCCTTTCTGTGACCTAAAAAACCTTATGCTAGCTAGCCTTGCAGGTCTCTCCTCACATCCACTGCTCTGACCTCATTTCTACCAGGCACTTTGTCCCAGCTTTCCTGCTCCTATAACAGCAAGTCATGTTCTTGACTTGGGGCCTTTGCACTGACTGCACTCTATCTAGGAGGATCTATCCACCAAATACTTGCATGGCTAGCCCCTTCACTTCTGTCCCATCCCTGCTCAAATGTCATCTTTTTAAAGAAGCCTACTCTGACCATCCCATTTAAAATGTTGCCTGTCTCTATCCTCCCTACCTTGCTTTAGTTCATAACTCTTACACTTTCTAACAGTTACTCTTTTTCTTATTGTCTGCCTTCCTTCCATTAGGACATAAGCTCCACAAGGTCAGGGATTTTTTTGCTTTGTTCATGGATGTTTCCTCAGCACCTATAATATAAGAATACTGCATGGCACATAGTAGGCACTCAATAAAAATTTCTTCAATGAATGGGTAAATCATTTCCTAAAAGACCTCAAAAGGAAAAAGCCTAATTAAAGTTGATTTTTTTTAATGTTTATTTATTTTGAGAGAGAGAGAGAGAGAGAGAACATATGAGCAAGCGGGGGGGGGGGGGGGGGGGTAGAGAATCCTAAGCAGGCCTTGGGCTGTCAGTGTAGAACCCAACATGGGGCTAGATCATGACCTAACTGAAATCAAGAGCCAGATGCTTAACGGACTGAGCCACCCAGGTGCCCCTGATTTAAAACACAATCTTTACTGTTGAAAGGTTAATTAAAAAAAAAAAAAATTGACCATTATGTGTTCTTATTTTGCAATTATGGGGGAATTACTTTTACTGTCACTAGAATGCTAGAGAAAAGTTTATGACAGAATTGTGAGCTATGCCTTTTCCTTCACCTAGCTCATTGCTGATATTTTAAACGGTGGTAATGGGATAGGGGATAATAAAGATAAAATATATTCAAAACAAACCTTCTTTATCTTGGGCATGAGTTAAAATTAATTGCTAGCAAGGCAAGCAGAAACTGATTAAGGTATGCCATTTTGGTGAGTTATGGAAATTGAGTTATATAGTTGGGAAAGAGAATGTTTACAGAATCCACTAGCTTAAAATAAGCACCTAATTTGGTACAGATTACAGTCGCATTCCATGTAGTCTTAAAAACATCATATCAGTTGTTACAGAGGAAACCTGGGACCAACTGATCTGAGACGTAGGGTCCTTTGGCTATCAATCAGAAATTCAAAACAAAACAATCCGTCTTAAGAAACACATGATAAGGATATTTACGTGGCTGTTACTGCAAAAGGTTTGATTCCCCAGTAGCACTATCCAATCTGCCCAATTAACGCAGGAAAAGATGACAAAAGAGGTCAGAGGCAAAAATCAAGTGTGTAATGCTTTTCAACAGGCCACTGCCAGTGATTTCTAAACCCCCAAGCAACAATTTGGTATATCCAGTTTGCCTGGATATATCAGAGGAAAAAACTCTCCCAAGTATTCAGGTTGTCACAAATTAGCTACAATTCTTTTTGAGAAACTGAAAGAATATAGCATCAAGGTTTCAAGCAAATCACACCTATCAAACAGTTGTTACTTTTTAATCTTTTGGGGTTTTGAGCCATTTTATTAACTGCAGTTTCCTTGTAATACAATATCGTCAGTGTCAACTACACCTCTACTGAACATTAAATAGTACTACACATTCATTAACAAAGCCCAATATCAAAGCCAGTGAATTGGCGTTGAAGTAATGTACTGCCAACAGAGAAGACACATTCTAAGAACAGTCAACAGCAGGATATCCTGAGTCTTTGTTAAAGCTTTAGTAACAGAAAGCTGTAAACAGCAGTAAGCAGAAATTTCAGGGCATTTAAGAGTGATCTGAAGTCTAGCTTCAAATAGCCCAGTCTGTGCTTTTTTCTTACATAGTATTTTTTGAGGAAATACTGAGGCAACTCAAGCCTAAGAAACAAACAATATGAAGTTTTCCTAACAATAGATGCAGCTATAGCAAAATAATAATGTTGACATTTCAAAAGTATAAGATCACTGGCAACCTCAGCCAACAGTTTTTGAAATAAATAGTTTTTAAATAAAATAGTTTTGTTTTTAACATCACAAAAATTAGACCTAGAGCACTTTTCAAACATTTAATTCTCAAATACGAACACTATTTTTCAGTACCTAGGATAGGCCCAAGATGCTGTGGGAGGCATTTTGCATATAATATACTTAACAGTTGAAGAAGACTTTCACAGTAGATTTTATTACACTTTGAGGCCATGACAAATTTAGTGAATCCAAGTCATCTATCAAGCATATACGCTATCAACATCATTTGTCACTGTTAACGCTGGCTTCAATCAACCTGGCTAAGGTAGTGTGTGTCAGACTTCTCCAGTACAAAGTTACTTTTTCCCTCTTTCCATATTGCTCTACTCCTTGGAAGGAAGTCACTATCAGCAGGCCAGACACCATCAGCAGGGAATTATGAGGGTGGAATATCTACTTAAATGATTTGAAATTATTTTGCATGGGAAATCTTTCTCTTCTTCATTTTTTACTGATTCAATCATATGAGTAAAGATTCATAGACCTTTATTTTATACTTCAGGTTAAATCCAATACTCTTATTTTGTTGCTCAAATTGTCTATATTTAATGTATACCTAGACATATACATAATGTCTGCGTATAGTGTAATCTATATTTAATGTATAAATAGTATACATAGTGTTATTCAATGTATGCATGTAGAATGTAGTCTATATTTAATGTATACCCAGACATATGCATAGTGTCTACATACAATGTATAATTATATGTAGTCTATATTTAATGAAAAAATATATGTGTGTATATATATAGTTATATAATTCTGTATAGTTGTATAATTCTGAATTATATATGTGTAAATACTGTATCTTCAAGTATATTAAATTAGTTAATCTTAAAAATTAAAGTTTTTCAATAATCATGTCCTCAATTTCTTATGTGAATCATAAGAATTATGATTAGCCTTTGACCTCCTTTTTTTGCCTTTATCCCAAGGAGGAAATGAGAAAAGGAATCCGTGCTCATAGACAGAACCCAATATGTCCCCATATTTAA